GGCCCTGCCTCCCAGCTTCTTCTCTCTGCCCTCACTAAGGCCTGCTGGCCTGCCCGCCTCCCACAACAAGCTCACACCGCTCAACCCCTGCCTCTTCTCCAGAAAGAGGTCCCAGAATCACTTCTCTTCACCTGGATCCATTTGCAAAGACCAGAATCCCATTTAAACAGGCAAGACCCTACAGATGAGGAGCCCTGGCGGCATGAAAGAGAAGTGCTCGGCTGCTCACCGAGAGGTGGCCGCTGGATCTGCTCCCATACGGATGGATGACTGTCTCCCTGGGAATCCTATGGGCCACTGCACTTGCCCCGCAGTATCACTCTGAGTTAGAATGGACTTGACCAAATGGAATGGCACACACCAACAGCAGAGCCTATACAGCGGGCGCTTTCTGAGCTACAACGACCCTTCAAGGTCGTCTGATCCAGGTGGTGCACAATGGAGTGGGACTCACCGTGACCCTGTGGGACAGGGTAGAGCTGCCCCTGTGGATTTCTGAGCCTGGAACTCTTCACAGCAGTAGAAAGCCTCATCGTTCTCCCTCCAAGTGGCTGGTGGTCTCTCACTGCTCACCTTGTGGTTTGCTAGCCAACAAGTCACCACTTCACCTGAAGAGGACAATGATCCTCAAGGGACCAGAGTGGCTTCCAGCTAATAAAGGCGAGGTCTATCCACGGAGCTTCTGTTGCAGGGGTGCACACGTGCAAGTGGGTGGGCGCCAGAAACTAATGTGCGTTTCACCCCGTGACTTTGAATCACAAAACATTTGAAACACACACACATCCAACTCCCCCAGGAAATGGATGGCCTGGGGTGTCCAGCGAGTTGCTGAAGGTCTCACAGCACAGCCCCTGAGCAAGAACTCAGAATGCTCCTGACCCCAACACCAGTGCCCTGCTCAGGGTTTGCACCCAGAGAACAACAGGAAATGGGGCTGGCCGGAGAGCTCAGCCTTAACAGGTCACCCCACCACGCAGAGCTCCCCACTGGGAATGCACACGGATCAGCTGGCCCCCCAACGCTGAGGGAACCCATAAGGATGTTCATTGAGGACGGGCAGGCAGGGAGGTGCTGGGAAACCTCAGCTAGTTTTGCACAAGCAGTCAAGAGTGGCCTTGACTTCCATCTCAAAGCCTTCAAAAGGAATTCTGCAACAGATGGACCCAGAGCTCGGAGGCTCCTTAGCAGAGGGGTGGGGGGGTGGGGTGGGGGGCTCATCTCTCCTGGAGAAAGCGTGGGCCTGGCAGAGATCAGCCTGCAGAGACCCTTCCAGGCCACGCCTGGTGAGTGTCCACCCATTCAGGCTGTGATTACCCTCCTCTCTGGGAGTGACCGTCTGAATTCCAGGGGTCCTGCAGGCAAGCAGGGCTGGTCGTGGGGGTGTTAGGATGAGGTATGGGAAATAAACACATAAACGAATCCACCTCCTTTATTTTAGAGGGGAGCAACTGAGGTTCAGGAGAGGCCAATTCACTTGAGCAAAACCAGTAGGCTAGCTGGTTTCAGAGCCAGGCATGGCTCAAACCCAGTTCTCTAATCTACCCAGGAAGCCACAAGACACGCATATTCAGGGAGGCCTGGGAGCCTGCATTTCCAACAGGTTTTCAGGTGATCCTGAAGCTGCTGGGCCAGACAGCACACTTTGAGTAGCATAACTACACCTGGCGGCAGAGTGGTTACAGGTTGGACTGCTAACCCCAAGAGCAGCAGTGCGAAACCACCAGCCGCTCCATTAGATGGCTTTCTACTCCCTTAAAGAGTTACAGTCTCTGAAACTCACAGGGGCGGTTCTGCCCCGTCCTGTGCGGTTACTATGAGTCAGACTCAAAGGCAGTGAGTTTTCTGAAATGCCCCCTTTAATGATGTCATGGTTCAAGCTCTCTGCTTCAGAATGACAAGCCTACTTATTTAAAACAATAATATAACTTATCGTAACGATCGTTGCGCACTTACACACCAGCCATGTTCCAAACCCTCACCAGCATAATGAGATTTCATCTTCAAAACAACTGCTCGGTAGTTTACAGTCACATCCCTTGTTTACAGTCACATCCCTTATTTACAGTTCAGAAAGCTGAGGCTCAGAGAGGCTAAAAGGCTTGGTCTAAATCACCCAGCTAAGTAAGTAGCAGAACCAAGACTTAAAGTTGGCTCTGTTTGACTCTCCAGCATCCTCCACAGGCACTAACCAAAATGCCAGCAGTTCAAACCCAGTCTGCGTCTGTCAAGGTTACAGCCTGCAGGCTCCATGGGGCAGCTCTGCTCCATCCTATAGGGCTGCGAAGAGTCAGCATCCACGCAACAACAGCGTATCACACCCTCGGCACTCCTTTGGCCAAACGTGTTGCCTGTGGAGCGCTTTGGAGCCTGGTGCTCAAGACCCCTTTCCCTAGGTCCCTGTAGACCCGGAGGGACCTGGTGGTGGAAAGGTTAAGTGCTTGGCTGCCGACCCAGAGCTCGGCCATGCTAAGCCAGCCGGCTGCTCTGCAGGAGAGACGGGGCGGTCTGCTTCTGTGAAAATCACAGCCCACAAATCCCGCTGGGTCGTTCCACTCTGCTGCTTGGGACTGCTGATAACAATGATTTCTGCTCTAACAATACAACGCGCAGGCAGTGGTCACCAACCTGTCTTTGAGAGTCAGCCTGGGGGAGGCATGGAACGAAACACAGCTGGGGCTCGGGGCTGGGTGGGCAACTCCAAACTCCAAGCCGATCTCACCGTCATGCAGTCCATATAGATTCAGGGCGGTCTCCTATGGGTTTCTGAGACCCATTTACGGGAGTAGAAAGCCCAGTCTGTCTCCCTTGGAGCTGCTGGTGGTTTTGAACCACTGACCATGCGGATTGCAGCCCAACGTGTAACCGCTAGGCCACTGACCCATCGTGGCCGACTCTGTGGAAGCCAGGGCCGTGTGCTTCCTCTGAGCCATTTCAGCACGGTAGTCTGAGACACCACCCCAGAAGGCTCCTCAGAGGTTTTCTGGGAAGCAGCTGCACAAAGAAGGCAGTGGTCTTCTAGCCACGGGTTTGCGAGAAACAGAGCCTGTGCCCATCCGTGGCCAGGGGAAGGCTGCCTGCCCGGGGGACGCCTGGAAGAGAGGGCCCGCTCTGTGGCTCCCTAGTCTACTCAAACCCAACTCTGTATTTTGGCCTCACCTTGGTGGTTATCTTGAAAGGACTCGGCTAGACACGGTACAGCTCATGCCACGTCTCACAACACGTGAGCCCGCAGCTGTGAACCAGCCTCATGTACTGGAGGACACGTGTGTTCTCCTTAGGGTTCACTGTCAGAAGCACCGTTAGTGCTCTGTTCAAAGTGCTGTCCTGTCTCCTCCAGAGAAGGAATCATGAAGCTCCAGAAGAGGACTGGGGACAAAGTGGCAGCAGAAGGGAAGTGAAGCCGAGAGGGGGCTGAGCAGTCAGAGGAGGTGGAGAGGCTTTTGGTAAGGAGGGCTATGAAGTCCCTGTGGTAGTTATATCATTTGTTGTCAATTTGAGAGGATTACAGTCTAGCCTGTCAATCTGTGTGGGCATGGCCTTCTCCTGAGGATTCTGGAAATTCCTGTATTTCCTCCTTGGAGGCAGGAGACACTCTCTCTCTCTGCTTACTCTCTGAGAGATGCTCTACTGACAAGACACATGGCATTATGCTAATAGGACCCATGCCTTGAGAACTGGAGGAGCCACGTGGAGACCCCTACCTGTGCCGAGATGCTTTTACTGCCACTGGATCCACATGACGTTGCACCTACTCTCCCGTGATCTTCCTGCATTCGGCATCATTGCATGTATTTTGTGAGTCTGAAGAGGACTTTATAGATTGGTATTGGATATATGGGATAATATCAGACTTATGGACTTGATCTAGGATATTTTCTCAATATTCAACTGCTCTTATATATAAAGCTCTTTCTTATACACATATGAGGCTGTCTATGAATTTGTTTCTCTAGTCTACCCAGGCTAACACACACCCCTTACAGAAATGCTACCTCAGGCAAAGTGGGCTGGTCTATAATAATTCAGGGCAGGCCCAAGGTGCTGAGGTGTATCTGCTCAGAGGCAGAAAAACTCCAGGTTTCAGGGACCGAACGGTCTCACTCTGAATCCAGGCTCTGCCACTTCACGACAGCGACAGGCTCACTGCCATCGAGTCAATACTGACCCTGCAGTGCAGAGCAGAGCTGTTCCCGTGGGTTCCTGAGACCATAAATCTTTATGAAAGTAGAAAGCCTTGTCTTTCTTCCAGGGAGGGGCTGGGGCAGGGCGGGTGGACAGCTGGCCTGTGGTTAGCAGCTCAGCGAGTGATCCACTATGCCGCCAGGGTCTACAAACCGCATTATGTGGGAGAAGTTATTTAATCTTTCAGTGCCTTGAAATGCTCGTCTGTATAGCAGCCCCACCTGAAAGAGCTGTGGAAGTTCATGGGTTAGCAGAGATGCCATATTTAAAACAGTGCTTAGCATCTGTTGAGGGGTTAGTACAGTGGTTCTCGACCTGCCTAATGCCGCAACCTTTTCATACAGTTCCTCATGTTGGGGTGACCCCCAACCATAACATTATTTTTGTTGCTACTTCATCACTGTGATTTTGCTACTGTCATGAATCAGCAACCCCTGGGAAAGAATCGTGTGACTCCCAAGGCTGTCGCGACCCATAGTTGAGAACCACTGGGGTTAGTACATGTAAACAAGACCTTAAAAAAAAAAAAAAAGAAGGCGGGCATAACAGAAGAATCGTCTAGATCCTCAATGGTAGATGTGTGTAATAACGAGGTTTCACACATATGTCCCAAAGCAGCTGAAAGTGGGTACCTACTTTCTTAGGGCACATTCCAGCTCGTTCTTCTCCTCCCGGGCTTCTTGGAGGTGGGAGAAGATCCTGGCCAGGAAGTCCTCAAAGTTGGACAGTAAGTGCGGCTCCTCCTTCCTCAGCTGCAGCCAGAGCTGCTGGACATCACTTTCACTGCAAAAGAAGGAGGACCAGGCTATGCGCTGCGGGAGACAGAGCTTCCCAGGTGTGACAGTGGCCGTCGGGATCAGCCGCATCGTCCTCACCACCAGCACAGTTGTTGTTGGCGGGTGATGTGGAGTCAAACTCAGGATGGTGGGTAGCCACATACATCTGTGAGACTGGTTCCTTCTGGTCCTTTCACCTGTCAGTCATTCCTGGGGGTCACCAGGCCTTGCAGGGTGCAGCATAGTCTCTCCTGTCATGTAAACACCACTCTTGGCTGCACCAGCTCCTGGGTGCCTTCTGGAATTGGGCAAACATGCCATGGATGCAGAGTGGCATGTGGAGGGGTATCTCAGAATGCCAGGGAGAAGAGAGGAGGGCAGGAGCTTCCAGCACGGGAGGACAAGTTCTCTGGCACTAAAAGAGAGAGCCTGTCCCCCCCGGGGGTGATGGTACTCACTCCTGAGAGGTAAAGACATGCCAGCTGATGGACGGTAGGAATCAGCTGTCCCAGAGGGGAGTGGAAGAGACTGTGAAGCACCCCACTGGGGCCTGGCATGGCTGACAGGCACAATGAAAGACGGAGTGAGGCTGAAAGAGAGGGTGCACGCATGGAAGGACCAACAGAGAGTCCGGAGTGGTGGAGGCAGGCAGAGCGGCAAAGACACAGGGTGACACGCACAGAAACAAGCCCACACAGACATGCTGGGCACACATTGGCACAATAAGCAACAGAGACTCACAAGACCGCACTCCTCCCCAAGAGAAGGGACACCGTGCACCCTGTTCTTCCTTCTGGAAAAACTCAACACCCTACAGTGAACGATCAAGTCAGAGAGGAACCCAGTTTGCACCCCATCAAGTCCTAAAACCAGTACATGGAGGATGTCGGAGACAATGAACCCTCAGAATAGAGAACAAACGCCTCTCTACCTGGGCAACACGAACTGCACTGCAGGTGCATCCCTCCTTTGAAGTGATGTTTGGTAATGCCATGCTAGCAATGGCCTTGCCAACAGAGGGGTGTCTGCACTCAGCACCAAAGAGGCCCAGGAGGGAATGAACCCACCTCTGGTTAGTGACCCGGCCATCTCTCCACCCTCCCTGCCTCCGTCCTTCCCTCTCCTTTTCTTCCTCTTGCTATTCTCTCCTTCCACACTCCCATCCAAACACCCACCCTTTCACCTAGACGACATATGCAGCCATATATCCATCCATCCATCCTTCCATCCATCCATGCATCCAACCACTCAGCCACCCACCCACTCATCCAATATGTATTTATTCTTATCTCTTAGAAACAGAATCTTGTAAGGGGAGATCTAGGGGATCTAGGAAAGAAGAGAAGGTATAAGTTCCAGCCAGTCCCCCCAGAACATGTGATGGGCATCCAGTTTATTGTGTAACATGAAATGTAGCCGGCACTAAGAATTCATGGCTAGTGAGGACTTGGTAGACAGGATGATGATCGATTGCTTCCAAAGAAACAAATGTATTATGAAACCAAGGTCCGCCTGGCCAGCCTGGCTCTCACATCTGTCAATTCCCTATTAGTGCATTGGGCTAGCACAGCCCTAAGGTGTGCCGACTCACCTGACTCTCTCCCAAAGCCCCTTGAACTACTTAATCATGACAGCATCACCTCCCCCCAGAGTGCTGCAGAAAGGACAGGTCTTGAGACCCCTGATTAAAAATAAGGCAAAAAAAAACCCCCAAAACCACCCTCACTGCCTTAGAGTCAATGCCAAGTTAGTCATTCTCCTGTGGAGCTGCTTGTGGTTTCAAACTATGGACACTGGGGATCAAGGCCCAATGCATAACCCCTATGCCACCAGGGCACCCAAAATAAGGCAACGCAAAAAAGTCACTGCTATTGAGTTGGGCCAGCTCTATAGGGCAGAGTAGAACTGTCCTGTGAGTTTCTGAGACCGTAACTCTTTACAGGATTAGAACATCTTTCTCCGAAGGAATAGCTGGTGATTTTAAAGTAAGGCAAGACCCATTTCATTTGATAAAATCAGTCAGTCAATTAGACCATGTGGTAGTTAGGTTTATTGTGCCAACCTGGCCAATAGGAACATGTTGGATTAATCAGGTTGCAGTTTGACTGGAGGGCAAAGAGATAAATGGCTCTACAAGTCCCCTACCCCACCCCTTTTCTCTTGCTCTCTGGTGATCGGACCAGCAAGCTTGCTGCTTTAGCTAGTTCTCTGCCTCAACCCCTGTGCTACACTACCCATGAGCCAAGCCAACCCATGGATTGTGTTGCTAGAGCTCGAGCGTCTTCAATACCTACTTCACCACGGTGCTGGTGTGTACATCCCTTGAGCTTGAAGCTGGTGGATCCCATCACCTTGCATTGCTTGAGTTCCAGATCCCATCAAGGCCTGCTTCACTGAGCTTCTGAGCTCCTGACTGTTGCTGACTGACCCTGCTGTCTGCTGCCTGTGGGCAGACTCTGCCTGCCTTGCCTGAGGGAAGACTCCACTATCTGCTTCCTTGACTTTGGACCTAGCAGCCCACACAGCTGGGTCCAAGGGATGCAAAGATGTGGTGGAGATGGTGGTGTTGTGTGACAAAGAGCCCCTGAGGATCCCTCAGGGCATAGCACAGACCCCAGGAGTGTGAGCACTCCTTGGGGAGTAAGGCAGAGCCAGGGGTGTTAAAGCGGACGGACGCACCGCAGGGAGGGAGAGGAACAGAGGGTGGAGCAGTTGGATACGAGCATTTCTCATGGGCCAGGCAGAGACAGAACCCCTCGACCACAAGCAATCCTTGCAAACAGCAGGGCACCCTACAAAAGGTGGGGGGGAGGAATTAGGGGTGGTGGTGGAGCCAGGGTGCTGACAAGTCCCAAGGGCTTAAGGATGGTGGGCGGGCGGAGTGGAGCAGCCAAAAAGGTCCCTCTGAGATGCCATTCCCCCAACTACTGTCCCAACTTACTCTTCCAAAACCTTCTGGGCTCCCAGTCTGTCCATCAGCAGCTGGAACTGGGCCTCCTCGTCCTCCTCCATGTCACCCTGCTCCTCTTCCCCTCTGGACTGATACACCTTCCCTTCCTGGAGCTCAGCCACTGGGTCACTGGCCTCTGCCTGACTCGGATGGCTCTGGCTGAAGAAGAAGTGACCTGGGGAGGCACGGCATGGGGGTGAGTGAGGCAGGACTCCCTCCCCCGGGAAGAGCTGGGTTGTCTCAGTCGCCGAGAATCCTTGCAGGCGCAATCATCCGAGAGAAGTAAAAGGGCAAAGCCCGATAGCCAGAGATCGTTGGACATCATGTTTTGGATTTTGAGTCGAACGCTGTCTTTCGCCCTTCCAGGAGCACACTGTGGGAGAGGCTGGGGCCTGGGAGCTGTGACTGCCATGACAGCACCCCTGAGGGGCTGGCTCCAAGGTCTGGCTCAGAACTCACCTTCTTGTGGTATCTCCCCTAACCAGCAAGACCTTTGCATCCACTACCTTCCACCAGCCTGATCACAATGCGCATCACCACCACCACGGGGGCTGCCATTCCCAAGACAGGATACTCCACAATTTGGGCGACACTTGACCCCTTTTTGCATGTCGAGTGTTGTGCCGGCTCCTCTTTCTCAGTCGATCGAGGATGCTGAGTTTCTGAAAGCTAGGGAAGGGGTCCAAGACCTTTAAGCTGCCTAGTGACATTTGCCTGGGGATCTAGCTGATCACAATTGCCTCTGATCAATGCCCGGCCGGTGTCTGATCTGAAGGTAGATCAGATTCCTCACAGATTACAGTTCTTCTTCCAGCTGGGTGTCTTCAGATGGGCTGATCCACTCAGATCCTGTCAACATTCCTCTGGTGGCTGGGTCCCTCTTGTAGACGCAGGGTGGAAGGACCCGTGCCTCTAGTCTCCCCGCTTTGTCATCTGCTGCTTTCAAGGCTGAACAGCAGAGGTTTGAAAGCCCCTCTCGGGTCCACCAGGCCTTCCCACCAGGGCTCCCTTCACTCCCTCAGCCCTTCTTGGCAGGGAGCTTCCGGTAACCACAGGGCGTGGGCACTAACAGAGATGGGGGGTAAGCCAATGAGCTGCCCTTGGGAAGAGACCCCAAGGATTCACAGCTTGCAAACCTTTGGCTCTGGATCCCTCAAAGCTCATCCTACATGGGCCCCTAGATCTGGAAAGAGCAGGGAGATCCCTTGCACAGCTTTGTGCAGACCCATTATTCGGGACCCCCAGCCTCCATCAGCACTTACTAAATCCAGAAGTAAACTCCTCCGGGGTCAGAAAGCCATTTCCATCAGCATCCAAGGCATCAAACACGTCTTCCAGATCCTCCAGGCTGAGTGGCAGCTCCTTATGGAGCCTCTGAAAGCAACCCAGACAGCACCCGTTAACACCCTGCTGATCGTGGAAGGCTGTCCTGCCCGGAACCCCAGCGCCCTCTGCCCAGTGAACGCCTGCAGCTGAGACCACGCCTATCAAAAGCCAGGAGCAAGATTATGCCTTCTGACCGCTGCACCCCCTTTCTCCTCCTTGGAAGATTGGAACCTCTACTACTTCATGGGTGCCAACTAGTGTGCTAAGCAATTCACTGTGTGTGTGTGTGTGTGTGTGTGTGTGTGTGTGTGTGTGTGTGTGCGCGCACAGACATGTCGATGTAGCTATAATGTATATGGTTTATGCCTAGTCTATATAGACATACTCTCTATATATTTGCATTTAAATCTCATGACAGCCTTTGAGGTTGGCCTTATTACCACCATTTTACGGATAAAGCACAAGGCTACATTACCTGCCCCCATGCCATAGACTTCACTGTGTGCCCCCCGGCCCCCATAAGGATTGTAAACAGTAATCTCTGTGTCTGAAAAGGCCCACCTTGGGTTTTACGTAGATAAATCTGCTGCTGCTAATGGAAAAGTCAGCAGTTCCAACGGACAAGCTTCCCCAGGGAGAAAGCTGGCGATCAGAACCAGACGGGCAGGCCTACTTGGGCCTAGAGGTGCAGGAAGGGTCAGAGCCAACGCTTTGGCCATGGGGCTGGGTTTTTTGTTTGGCTAAGATGCCAGCTGCCTTCTCCCACTTAAGGTGTCAGCGCTCTCCCGGGGTCAACCCTACCTGGGCTTTAAAGGTGGGCTGGACACCGGTCATAAACAAACACTGGACATGTGCCCTGGGCTGACTAGGAGCCAGCAGGGAGGGAAGGGCACCAAGCCAGTCGCTGGGGTGAGCAAACAGTTGCCATGCTGCATCTGTCCCTTCTGGCCTCTGCCACAGGTGTGGTGGTCCCCAGACAAGGCTCGCTTGCAAAGTTGGAGCAAGTGTCCTTTCGTCCCCTCAAAATCTAAGCCCCCAAGTGAAGACTTCCCAAGGGAGCTCATTGCATCCCAGATGGCATGCCCCCTTTCTCCCAGTTGCCCGAGGGGCAAGGGAAGGTCCTGAACAGAATTGCCGGTGTGGAGGGGACTGGCAGCTGAGGGCCGTAAATGCAGGGCTTTGTGGGAAGGGAGGCGTGTACCCACGTGAACATAAACATGAGCTGACAGGTGTGAAGGCCCATAAGGCAACTTAGAAGAACACTTGGCACGGTCCTGTGGTAACCTTCTGGGAGACGATGATGCGTTACAAAGGGGGCAGTTAGGATGATGAGGAAGCCGTTGGAAGAATTAAATGAAATAGGAATGGGTTTTTTAAATGAGAAGAAGAGGACAAGTGTGCGCAAAGATTCTAGATGGGCATCTGCTTAGTATACAGCAGACTCTCTGGCTTACCAACAACCCATCAACCAGATGTCTCAGCCACCACAGAGGGAGAACATGGGTGAGGAGGCTGCCCATTATGCGGGCAAGACGACGATCAGCTTCATGAGGAAGAAAAGGCATCGTCCTGAGGGAGGGTAAGACCCTCGTTCCTTCCCACCTAGAGTCCCCGCCTTCATGCTTCCAGGGTCTCATCCTTCCTCCTGCCCCACCCTCATTCTATGAGGGACCACAGGCTCCATCCCAATGCAGGGGGACCCGGTGCATCCCAGGGGTGAACTGTGCAAGGCCGTGACCTGTCAGAAGTCTACCCCCAGGCCTGTATTCTGAGGGGCTCCTGGGTGGGTGCAAAGTACAACCATCTAATTGTCTGGACCACCCAAGACCTCCTTCCTCAGCCTCTCAGCAAACCACGCTCACGCCACGGCGTTGCTTCCCGGCCCGTGCAGCCCTAGAGGACAGGGCAGAACCAGCCCTGCGGGGTCCTGAACCGTCAGTCTTGACGGGATAGAAAGCCTCCTCTCTCCCTCGGCGGTGGCCGTGAGCAGCAACAGTTGTCAAAGGCTCCCTCAAAGCACGTGGACTCTGGCTTCTCATGTGGCGTGGGGCTCCAGGAGTGGGTCCCGGTGACAGAAATTTGGGGGGACCAAGGACTGAAACAAGGGTGAGCTGAGCCCACTTGCAGGCCCCTGGCTCTCTCCCCCTGAGTCTATCAATGGTCGGTTGGTGATGCTCAAGGAGCAGGAGGAAAGCACCATTGCACAGGTCACAGCCCTGCTCCTTGGCCTCCCCCCTGCCCCCACCTCTGGGTCCAGGTAGAAGTAGAGGTGGGATGTGCCACCCTCTAACTCAGCTCTCCTGTTCTCTCAAAACAGAGAGCTTACACCAAGCCATGAAGCCCCCAGTAGCCCAGGCACACAGTACTCCCCCCAAACTCCGGATGACGTGAGGGATGGAAAGAATCTTTGCTGCTGGGCTTGTTTGTGACTTCTGAGGCCCAGGATTTGTGACTTGTGACTTACGAGGCCCAGGAGTGGCACGGCAGAACTGCTCCGCACGGGTTTCTTGGCTGCCATTCGGGAAACAGGTGACCTATTGCCACTGGGCGGTGTCAAGCCCCCCACTTTGTGGTCACTGCCATCAAGTTGGTTCTGACTCACAGTGACCCTGCGGGCCAGCGAGAACTGCCCCCAGGGAGCTCGTGACTGGAACTCTTTCCAGGTGCAGAAAAGCATTCCCCCCGCTTCTTCCCCTGGGGGGATCGATCTGCTGACCTTTTTGCTAGCAGCCGGGTGCAGAAGCCCAGGCACCACACAGGGGCCTGCCAGGAACTGTGTTAACAGCCAAAGTGGAAAGGCATTAGCCCGGAAGGATGGGCAAATCCCATCCCTGGGAGAAATCCGCTCCGTGGCTTGCTTTTTTTGTAAGGTCAGCGAGCTAAAAGAGGTTTTTCAGATTCATAGGGTTGAAAAGAAATATCAAAAAGAAAAAGACTATTTGGTGATACACGGGCATTCACATTGTGAAGGTCACAGATAAAGTTGGATTGAAACCCAGCCACCCTCCCTCCTTTCCATAGTGTGTGTTGCGATGCTGCACCAGTGGGCAAAGCCTCAGGCTCCAAGTACAGGTGGGATGGATAGCTCTTCCTGGGCAGAACGTATACTATATCTTCTGTCAAAGACGCCACACTACAGGCGAACCCTAATCCTAAGAGACAACTCACTCAGTGCCAGCCAGTTGACTCCGACTTGTATTGACCCGATGGGTCAGAGGAGAACTCTCGATTGGAGTAGAGACCCTCTAGGTAAGGGTAGAACTGCCTCTGTGGGTTTCTGAGACTACAGAAACCTGGGAGTAGAGAATCTCATCTTTCTCCCGCAACCTGAGACAAAGAAAGCCAACCCGTTTGACATTCCAGGTGGGTAGCCCCGTTGGGGCCGCTTACCTGCATATCCCTCCTGGCGATGAAGCCCTTGCCCTCGGCATCACAGGTCTGGAAGAATTCTTGGGCCTTTCTCAGCATGGCCACCTGGCTGGGCATCTGCTCCTGGGTGTCCTTCCACTCTGGGCTGTCCAGGGGACTCCAGGGGGTCTCACTCCCCTTTGGTGCCCGACCAGGTCTCTGGGGTCTGGAGACCACCCTCTTGTTAGGCGTAGCCATCCGGACTTAGGTGTCTTCAAGTCTTTTCAGAACCTGGATGTGGGAGGCAGAAGAGAGAATCAGTGTGGTGGGGATGGAGTGAGGCTGCAGATGGAGGAGAGGGGGCAAGAGGGCGCCAGAGAGCCACACACCAGTGTGCTGGGCCCCGGCCTTTCTTAGCCATCAAGCTCTGGCCAACGGGAGGGTAAGAAAGGGATGGGAAAGCACACACATGCTTCCAGATGGAAGGGAGGAGCCCACAACACCATGTCTCCTAATGTAGACTGACGGACAGACTGACACCACCAGCTCTGATCCTGATAGGCCAGCTGCCACGCTCTGGGCGTACCCCTAGATGCAGGGAATTCCTGGGAGGTGCAACGGGTTGCTGTGCTCAGAGAGGTGCCTCAGAAGAAAGGCCTGGTGACCCGCCTCCCAATAATCCTCCCATGACAGCCCCGTGGGGCACAGCTCTGCGGGGTGGCCTCTCGATGCTATGCTCTGTCCACTCCCTGATTTAATTCCCACCTCTCCCACTGTATATGGGATGTTAAAATGAAGCCCTGGTGGTGCAGGGAGGACCATTTAGGCTACTAACTGCAACGTTGGCAGTTTGAAACCACCAGCCGCCCCCTGGGGAGAAAGAGGAAGCTTTCTACTCCCATAAGGAGTTACCGGTCCAGGAGCCTACAGAGACAGTTCTACCCTGTCTGACCGGGATCCCTTTGAGCCAGAATCAACTCAATGGCCGTTGAGTTTCCCCATAGAAATAAGAGATAATCATCTTTCTGCTACCAGTGAGGAAACTGAAGCTCAGAGAGATTAAGTAACTTGGCCAAGGCCACTCTGAAAGTTAGTGCAAATGTTGAAATGTCAACCCAACTTCAGCTAGCTTGTATTGGGTCCAAATCCCTTCCCGGCCGGACTCCTCTGGGTTTCTGTGGAGAGGGACTTCTTGCTCTCATAAGCATTCTGTCCCATCACTCAGAGGGCCCCTGCTGCAGACCTTGTCTGAGCAGTAAGGGCTGGGTCGAGGTTCCAGCAGGCCCAGGCTTCAAGGAGCTTCCTACTGGACTGGCATCTCTGACTAGGGGATGCCCCAGGCGGACTTCAGGCAACAGAGGCTCATCCATCGCACACCTCCATCAGATCCTTAAAGGCCCTCAGGGGGTGGGTTTCAGATGCATCTTGCTATGTGATGTCAGGCATGCAGAAATCTGGCCTCTCACCTAGCCCCTGCAGTTGCCACTGCTCCAAGCCTCGGTGTCCCCATCTGCTCATCTGCGCAGGGAGAGGCCGGGACCAGCCTGTCTCTACGATCCCTTTGAGCACCAACACTCTGCAAGTCTGTGCAGCTCTCAAACTAAGAAAAGGCTGTCGATGAAAAATTAGATTCATGGGCTAAAAGGAAATCGTGATATCTTTGGCCTTTTTTTTCTTTTCCCATATGGAGATTCTTTCGGAAGGAGACAAGGTCCCAATTCTAGATATCAGTTCATACTTCAGTTTTGTTTTGTTTTGTTTTGTTTTGTTTTTTTAACCTAGCTAAGTCCTACACTGCATTTTGTGGGGAGTCCATATTAGTGAAGAGGGTACACAGTCTCCCGAACCTCAGGTGGGTTTCTGACATTGACATTCTCAGATGCTAGGCCTGGGCCTTGGGCCCTGCTACACTGTGACTGTAGAGCGATTTCAGCCTCCTGTCCACTGCCTGCATGCCCACAGGGCCCAGAGCTGTGCGGCAACCTGCCGGCCTCAGGAATCAGCTCTAAATAACAGAGCCTCCACTAAGCAGACTTCCCTTAGGCTGGTCAGCCCACTCCCACCGCGACTCCCTTGATCAGCTCCTCACTTGGGAAGTGGCCTTTCTCCCCATCCCTACCTGGTGTCACCTGGATGTCACCCAATTGTGTGAACATGGTGAGTCTGCCTCCCCCAGCGGGACTGACTTGAGTGAGAGGCCAGGGCTGTGTCCTTGCAGACGGCTTTGCACATTTCCCAGGGCCTCCGCATGCAGGACTGGGTCTCAGAAGGGCTTCTGGGTGATGCCGTAGCAGTGAGCGTCTCCTCATACACAGCGCGAGCACAGCAGCCTGCTGCCCTCATGGGGCCTGCCCAGGGCGCTGTATGGTCTATGGCCCTATCAGACCCACCCCACTCTCACCTTCTGCTCTCGTGAGATGAGTGCCTATTTTTCGCTGAGTGTTCTCTCTTGCCAGGCCCCTGATGTACTTCATGGTATGAAAAAGCCACCCAAGTAGCTCTCAAAACCCAGCTGGAAAAGCAACCAGCCAACAGGTACTAGTTTTAACCCCTCTTCCCAGCTCAGAACATGGCACACAGTAGGTGCCTACTGATGGTTTACGGAACGGACACCAACATTTTGCTGAATTCTTTATGGGGGGGCCTGGACGTGTCTGTGCTTCGCTCAGCTCGTCTATGCATCGGGCTTGTACTCTCAGAAAGAAGCAGTATCAGAATCAGAGGCACCCTCCTGACTGAAACAACACTCAGACGGAATGTCTTTTTGAAAGTGGGTTCCAAGACCCTGGACATCGTGTAGTATAGGACAGGGGTCCTTGTGTGGGGCTGGGACAGGTATGAGCTGTGTGAGGCCTCTGTAGGATAAGGGTTAGGGAGGCATTTGTTCTCAGGTGTGAAAGCCTATACTATGGTGCCCCGACACGGAGCATAGTGAGGTGCTCAGCACCCAGCAAGAAGTGAGCGATTAGAATCCAACCAGAGATGCCAACGGAGAAAGCCTGGTGATCGGCTTCTGGAAAATGAACAACTGAAAGGCCCAGGAGGGCTGTTGGAGTCCAACAGGAGGGGCCCTGAGCCGGAGCCCACTTGAAACAATGGGTGGCAATGGTGCACCTGCTCCCTGCAGCACCCTGAGCAGGGGAAAAGCAACAGGTTGGAAGGAAACGTTTAGACCAAGATACACGATGGTAACACTAGCCAATAGAGAGCTGCATGTTACTTTGAATATTAGACCAAGTGGATTCTAGTGTACAAAATAGTAATAGGGATAAAGTAATCTCATCATGGGGAAAATAGTCCATTTCTCAAGAGGACATAACAAATGAGACATTTATGCACTTAATAATAAATTTTCAAATTCATGAAGCAAAACCTAATAGAACTGTAAGGGGAAAAATAAACAAATCCACAATCATATGAAAAGATTGCCTCTCAATAACTAATAAAACAAATAGCCATAAAATGTGTAGGTAGGGATACAGAGGTCTTGAATAACCTATCAATTAACTTTACCTGTGAGACATTTGTGGAACACTCTACCCAACAACAGTGGGATGCACTTTCTCTATAAATACACATGCAACATTCACCAAGACAGACCGCATTCTGGGTTATAAAATAAGTCTCAATACATTTAGAAAGACTCAGTAATGCCGAGTGTCTGCTGTATGATCCCTGTTATGTGCCATCAGGCTGGTCCCGACTCACAGCAGCCCGATGCACGACAGAACGGAATGCCCCCGCTCCCGCACCGTCCGCACAATTGTTCTTATGCACGAGCTGCACTATGACCAGAGTGGGACCACATTAGGGACCGAGAACAGTGATGCCGCTGGGAAATCCCCCAATACTTGGAAACTAAACGACATCCTTCTAAATAACCCACACATCACAAAATAAACATTTAAAGGGAAACTTAAAAAGACTTTGAACTCATAGCGATTCCAAAGCAAAGCTAAGAAGATACAGGGAACCTGTTGTTAGGGTCTGACTCGGCGACCCCTGCACACAGAATCGTGTGCCTGCCTGGCCTCTGCCCCACCCTCAGGTCGGTGTGTTTGGGCCCTGCGCAGCCACTGGGTCGGTCCATCTCACTGAGTGCCTGTCTTGTCCCCGCCAACCCTTGGCTTGATCAGGATGGATGAGTCCCTGGAAAAGGACAGCATGTTTGGCAAAGTGGAGGGTCGGAGTGGAAATGGAACAAACGGAGCACAATTAAGCAGGACGCTGACACGTTGTGAGAAATGTGCCTGATGCGACTGAACGATTTGTGTGGAAAACGTTAACTGGGAACTTGCCGGGTACGCGTTCACCAACAACGCCGTGCAACACTGTTTGAAAGAGGAAAAGCCGCCAGCTCCAAATGTTGGATACTGCTAAAGCCGAACTCAGGGAAACATTTAAAGAACTACACATGTGGATTAGAAATAAAGTCTCAAATCCATGACTTCGACTTGCACCTTAGGAAAACAGAAAATGAAGGGAGACGCCGGGCAGTGTAATATAAGATACAATAATAACTTATAAATTATCAAGGGTGCATGGGGGAGAGGGGAGGAGGAAGGGAGGGGGAGGGGGGAAAAGGAAAATGAGCTGATTCCGGGAACCCAAGAGGAAAGCGAATTTTGGGAATAATGAGGGCAACAAATGTATAGATGTGCTTTACACAATTGATCTATGTATTGAGATGAATTGTATGAGCCCCAATAAATTGATTATAAATAAATAAATAAAAAAACAAATGAAAAAGAAAAAAACAAACAGAAAATGATCAAATCAAACCCAAAGTAAGGAGGGGAAAAGGAAATAATAAATATCAGAGCAAAAATCAATGAAAAATAAAAATAATAGAAAAAGTAAAGAACCCAAAAGTTAGTTCTACCTCCAGCAAGATTGATGAGGGGGGAGTAAAGAGAAGATGCAAATGACAATATCAGGAACATGAAAGGTGGCATCTGTAATGATTACAGACACGACAGGCATTAAAATGGATAAGTAAACAGCCCTGTGCCATAAATAGGAAACGTTATATGCGCCAGATAGATCCCTTGAATGCCACTGCATATCGAAGCTCACTCAAGAGAAAACAGAAATGTGAATCACCCAGTATCCATTAGAGTAGAGGAGCTCATAGTCTAAAACCTTCCCAAACAGAAAAGTCTATGCCCTGATGTCCGGAAGAGTTCTATCAAAAACTAAAATCAATGTGTTATAAACTTTTCCAGAAAATTCACAAGTAATGACCTCCTCACATATTT